CCAGCAAGCCTGCTGCCATGTAGGCCATGCTATTGTCAAAAAATCCAAAGTTGTGACAGTGACACCAGCCACGGAGCCATGTATTAATAGATTGGGTCTGCCTGTTCCTTCCAACATCACTGCCCACAACTGGAAGGAGGGAGGAAAAAATAATCCATGCCCCAGATTCCCTTACTAACCATCGCAAGGCCCTGAAGTCTCCGTTTCATAGTGGCTTGTCTGAGATTACAGCTACTGTTAACCAGTTTGGCTATTTTGGATAAAGATCATGCAACCGCATATGGACGCTGTTACTAGTGGCAAAACTACGTTTCTGCTATAGATTGGTTTATGTGATGTACTGTTGGGAATATTTTGTGTGTTTGTACAATGTATACATTTGCCAGGCCTGAATATGGGTGCAGAATGCCCTGCCAGCATTTTTCCAATAGTGCTCTTGCACTGCTGGAACAGTGTGAGTATGGACTTGGCTGGGTGAGGTGAGACTGACTCAGAGAGCTGCCTTCTGTTATTTTATTCTTAAAAAAAACCCCAACAAAAACCCCCCACAGTGTTTTTTTTCTGTACGTAATGATACTGAATATACATATATCTCTCTTCGCACATCACAAGATGTGAAAATGCAGATAGGAAAAACCTATAGTTTTGCCCTATTTCACAGATTTTTGAAACTTCCTCAAAATATTAATTTTAATGGAAACAAATGGAAGTGGTGTTGAGTATGAAATCCACTTTTGCCATTGGTGGTGTTCTGTTGGGGAAAAAAAATTGATTGCCTGTCCAGCTAAACTTTAGAAACAGACTATTTAATGCAGCGGGTGGCGAGAGACTGCTTGATTTCTACCTGAATTGTGTACCTATTGTTATATCTCGGCTCTCAATGGCTTCATAGTTTTTTAATTTATATAAGTCAAACCGTTATTGTAGCATGTTTTTCTATGCTTTTGTTTGGATATTGATGGTAACCCGCAGGTTTGTGATATACTAAGCTAGAGCTGCTTGGTGAGTTGCAGTTTTGATGTAGACCATGAATGCATTTCTGTGGGTTTATGACAAAGTTTCAAACGTGGAGTCCCCTCTGCATTAATGAGAGATCCTGTACGTGTTTTTCAGACCATTTGTGGGTTGCCTAAGGGAAGGCAATTGCAGTCCACATGTCAATCTATGGAGATGATATGCAGCATTACACTGCCCTTAGAGGCAAGAAACAGTATACTGATTTTTGCCAAGGGATCTGTGGGAGAGATCATAAAGCTTGCACCAGATCAAAGATCTGTCAGTCTTGAACTAGTCTTAAAATCAGCCCAAATAATTCTTTATCCTTTAACATTAAAAGAAATAGTCGCTTCCACATCTCTTTTGAAGCATTAGTGTATGAAAAAGCAGATGTATGCTTAGACTTAACATTAGAGGTTTTTCTGAAGTTGCATCAGATCTGTTTAGCTTGGTCATGTTTACCAGCTCTGAATGCTTAGTTTGACTTCTGGGGCGGTACTGAGAGTTAAATATGTCAACAGCCGACTTCATGAAAGAAGGTCTGTTCAACTCCTGCCTGTACAGTCCCTTAGCGAAGCGTCGTGCAGCATGGCTGATGGCAGAATCTATTCTAAGTGAGAAATGCCAATAAAATACAAAACACGGCCCTTCTCTACCATTTTCTTTGTGTGTCAACTGCAATCAACTGAAATGGTTTTCTTTTGTGATTTTTCTCTTTTATTGCTGAAAGGGTATGTTTTATAATTTAAAAATAGAAAAAAACACACACACACACACAGATTCAGTCATATGTAAGGGCTAATGCAGTGGTGATAGTAATATCAATAGCTTGCTACATTAAGATTTGTTTTTAAAAAAGTGCTTACAGGTGTTTTGTGCTCCTGTATATGCTGATTTCTTTGTGTGTGTGTTTTTCCTCCCATACTACTCAAATGTTTCATGTTTTAGGCTATCAAGGTAATTTGGTATCAGTGGGAGTACCATTACATTTTAGTGCCATTAGTATTTTATTACGCCCTCCTCACTGTGCTCTCAAGAACTTTGTTGGAACACCTTTTAAAGATGTGAAAAGTGGTAACAATTTATATTTCTTGTCTGGTCTGTCTTTGGTGTCAGTGATGTGACATTTATCAACAGGGTTGGCTGGGTGCAGGGTAGTATTTGGCACAAGCTGAACTTTGATGTTATTTCTTAAAGGGAGAAATTTTGGATTTAAATTTTATTTCAGAATGGTAGTGATTAGTAGTAGGAAAATGAACTATTTCACACTAATAAAAAACTCATCAAAGTTTGGATCAATGCTCAATTTGTTTCCCTTGTCAGAGCTGCTCTGTCTGCGACTGGGAAGCTCGTTTTAGGATTACTGCTCTGGAGAATCCTTCAGCCAGGTTGTAAACAGATTGCTCAGCCTCGTAATGAAGGCAGGAGCTTCCAGAGCGCTGGGGAGGTTTGCCAGGCTACTTGCCTTGCGGGGGTGTAGGTTCTTCAGAGTGAAAACATCTGTGTAATCAGCAAAAAATGTTTTGGTGTCTTAAATGTTTTCTGTAGGTAACATAATGTAGGAAACCTGTCTTCACGAGTTCTGTCCAGTGCTCTTGCTGCTCCACAACTTATTTTTAACTTAAAATCAGCAGTTCAGGAAGCCTAGCTAAAACCACAGATTTATAGAATCATAGAATTGGACATTGTCTTGAGTCTTGGCATAGGTGATAAATTTAGTCAGTCTTGAGGAAGACAGATGCTTTTTGTGGGGAGAGAAAGATCATACGTGTACCGTAGTACTCTGGTTTAGAGGCCACAGATGCTGCAGAACGGTGAAGACATTCTTTTATTTACTCTTATTGTACTTACGCTACTAGCTGGATGGGTTCACCAGATTGAGTGCACACACTACTTGACAGAGCTAAGTTATCCAGGTAGAATAAAAATAATCTGCCTACGCAAAGTATGGTCTCTGCTTCCCTGAGCCTTGGTCGGGGTGGAGGGGGTGGCAGCTGCTTCTGGGAGGGAAGGGAGGCTTCCCTTGGTCTCTGGCTTTCTGGTGTCTGCATTCTCAGCCATTACAAATGTTTTCTTTTTGCAGATGACACGATTGGTGCTGCCCAGCATGCTGGAAAGGTGAGTCACACTAACACTATCCAGACAAAGTCATCATTATTTGTAGGGGAGAATCCTTTCTTGAAAAATTCATTACTGTGACTAATCAGCCTAGTCTCCATGTTTTAAAGGCAGAGTAATGCTGGGTGAGTCACGCTGATGGTGCATGAATCATCAGACGGTGGAAGCCTTTTCCACTCGATTCCCTTTTTATTTTTCCTCTCCCTTCTCCACTGTTGTGGTGATTCCTTTTAGAACAGAATTAAAAAGCCCGTCTGACTCATCGGCACTAACTCAACAACCTGCTATTCTGAGGGGGCGGTTACAGTTCCTGGGAATAACCTTCTTAAGGCTATTTCTCTAAGTCATTGTAAGTAAAATGGATGCAAAGAATATGTTCTCATTATACAGTAGGAGGTATATTGAGGAAAGTCTGTGATCATTTGGAAAAGTAGAATTGGAGACCAGCTCTTTAAAATAAGAGTTAATGCACACCACTGTCGCCACGGAAGACGTGTACTGACTTCTTAGCTGGCTCCCAGGTGAAACTAAAAGGTGCACAGTTTCTGTGTGTCCCTCCAGGCTGTCGTCTTGCTGATGTTGACTGTCCCAGGCTGTTTGCCGTCTCTGTTGCAGTACCAACCACATCTTGCCGGGGGCTGTGCTTGGGTCAGGTCTGAGCTAGGCTCACAATACTGAGGAACGCTGTGTAGAACCATTCATGACACTCATCGTGGTATTGCCTCCAAACAAATACTGTAGGAGGAGCGTATATATGGGGCAAACCTCCGAGTCTGACAAAGATTAAGAAAAAAGTTGGTATTTCTTGTGTCATCCCACTATCTGGGAGTCTTCGTTGCAGATCAGGATTCAATTGTTCAAGTGTTGCACAGAAGCAGAGCAAATGTTTCACATCTAAAGCAAAGTTTCTTCGTGGGTACAAACTGCCAGAGCTAGTGGCCGGTATGGGAGTCAGTGTCTAGCACAGCAGGGTAATGGCTAGCTTAGATTTTTAGTTAAACAAGCAAGAGATGATGATGAGTTTTTAATGTAAAGCAACTTGAATTAGGAAGGAAGACCCAAGACAGAGCTCTTGGGGAAGTGGGTGGGGGTGTGATATTTCCCAATAAAGCTGGAGTAGAGGATGAGGATTATAGTACAATGATGGTAGGTACTCAGAGTTTGTAAGTCAAAAGTTACTTCTTGCCTGTGTACTATTATTGATAGATAAAGGGACCTGCCTTTCGTGGGACCACCACGTTCTGAAGATGACAACATGACCAAAGCCATTCTGCTTTCTAAGGATTTAATGTTGTTTTGTTACCAATTTTTGGAACTTTGAAGCTCTAACAATTTCTTGCCTTGGTTTCTTCTTTGTCTAAAGAAATGTCATAGTTATCCATTTGGCAGAGTTGATCTCTTCAGCTTCTTCGGACAGAATGATGTATACTCTACTTATAGAATATCCTGCGTATGTTTTTCTGTTACATGTTAACAGAAAAATGTTACATATTAACCTGGGTAAGATGATTTGAATGAAAGGCAGCAAACCAGGATCCTGCTGACTTCTGGTTCTGACTACCTATGGGCACACCACGTCATGTTTCTTTTCACTTTTCCTAACTACATGATTACCTCAGGAATCTCAAGGATAAATGTTCAAGAAGAAGCTTGGAAAGAAAAGGTTAATAGTGGTTAAAAAAAAAAAGTACACATCTTGAACTTTCCTGTGTGTGAGCAGACAGTTTGAATGACTGCTCCATTTGAGTGAAGGCCTTGGTTTCTGTCCCAGGGAAAAATATTTGAAAAAGCTTCCATTTTCTGTTTGGTTTTGTGAAGTCAGTTGGGTTTGCAGTGCACAGAAGCAACGTCTGCAGCTGCCAGCTCCTGCATAGTCATAGCTCACAGGCCATTAACACTGCTAAGAGTCTGTAACCACAGGAGGACATGGCTGTCCAGCAAATCCAAGAGCATGAACGAGTGGTAGCTGTACTTGGCTGCTCTTTGGGCCAACCGCGAATTTCTCACATGGGACCGTGCGTTAGGAAAAAAGGCTCCAGGCTCTAAGAATAAAACTAAACTAGGAATCCCATTGTTATTCCTAATGATAGCATGTTGAGCAGATAGATGTGACATAGCTGCAAGATGGTGTAGTGTACTATCATGTGTACTTCTACATATTTAAGTGGGTTTTTTTCATGGCAATATATTACAAGACAAATGCAGAAATAGAGCAGACTTTACATGCTTTGCATCCAGGTCTGTTAAGGAGAAAACATGACTGCATCTTGGTGTGTCTGTTACTTTTTATTTATAATAAACATAGCAGCATTAGATGAATGCCACTTCTGATAATGGCATTTAGATTCTCTGCTGTGGCTCCTCTCCTGTGCTCTGAACACTTAAAGTGACAATTTATAATCTGCAGCTTCCTTTTACACTTAAATGAGCAGTTCCTCTGTAAATTTTCAGGCTCCTGTCTAAGGTGGGAGACTCATAGAACTGAAAATCAAGGCTTGATGCCTTTAGGAACAAAAAAACCACCACCACCAAAAATCGGTTGATGGTTTCTAGATAAATATCAAACTATGGTATTTATTGCCAGGGAAGTAGCGAGTGCATAATTACATTACAGAGGAAGCTTGCTCTTTCCACTTGGCGTGCAGCTGGAGCAGGCGCTGGTTGCCACAGCAACAGGGAGATGGCTAAATATAGCCTCCCTGGCGCTGGACCGCTTAAGGTAGAATGATGGGGAGGTGTGAGGGTGTGGGCCTGACTCTCTTCATCTTGACCAACTTTTCTTTTTTTTTTTTTTTAAAGTGCACAGCTGAGTTGTATGGAGACAAAATTTCTTTTTGCTGCACTGATGCTCGTGTAGTTCTTCGGATGCCTCCCTACAGTCATTTCTTCTGCAATTCCTCCAAGAAGCAAAATTGTAATTGGAGTAATTGGAAGTGTTCCCCCTACATGCATGCTTCTCGGTTTCCTTTTATCTGGAGGTTTTAAGTCTAGCGCTGTTTTCTTTAGGAAGAAAAAACACAAACCACAAAACCCACAGTGGCACTGGCTGCTTCAAAGAGCACACACGGAGCTTCTGCAAGGGGCTGCTATTAATTTGTTGTGTTTCCAAGAGGTCTTTCTTCATTGCGTCAGACCATTGATTCACTGCACCCAGATGATGGTCACTACTGCTGGAAAGTTGCAGTCTAGCCAGACGCTGCAAGACCTGTGCTTTACAGCCTGAATGCCAACCTCTCTTCTAAAGCTTCATGAAGTTTGTTTTATAAGCACGTGGCTCGTGTTTATCCATATAAATGCTTACCCCTTTCTGAATCCTATTAAGCTTTTGTCCTCAATTAAGTTTTGTGGCAAGTACTCCCATAGTCTGAATATGGGAAAAGCACTTCCTTTTATCAGATCTAAATTTCAGTCTTTCATTTAAATAAATGTCATCTTGCTTTTGTATTCGGAGAGGATAAATCAAGATCTTGATCTTTGTCATTCATTAGTCTGTATGCTCTTATCACGGCTGCTCTTAATAGTCTCTTAAATAGCTAAATTGAACCAATCTTTTCACCTCATCGATGTATCAGGGTTTCTTTTTCTTTTCCCCTTTGCTAAATCATCAGGTTCTTAATATTTCTGTCCTATATCTGGAGGGATAAATATGTTCCATAGACTGTAACACAAGATTTCAGTGGTGGGGCCTGTGTCCCTGCTATTCCCTCCATCTTGTTCTTTGGCTTTTGGTGACTGCTGCACAAAAGAGAACTCCTTGTGGACTTTGTTCAGGTTTTCCAGGGAGCGGATAGTTGATTTAGTCCTGCAAGGTTTGTGATTAATTCATGTTATTTTCTTTAGTATGTGTTGTTGGTTTTGTTAATATTGATTTTTCATCTGCCATTCTGTAGTCTGTTCACATAGTGGTCTGAGCTCTTTAAAAAGTTCCTTATAGTATTCTCCGATCTGGTAATCTCTTAAAAACTGCGTGAATACTCATTTCACTGCTAATCCCCATTTGATCTCATGAATAAATATCACAAGCACCACCTGTATTGATATGAAAAAACTTCTGGCATCCACTGTTAACCTTTTGCTGTCGTCAAATTTCATGATTAATTTGTGGTCTTATTTTCTCCATACTACATATTTTGATCCATGTTACTACTTTATTTCACCAACCAAGCCTTGCAGATAACTCCTGAAAAATACAACAAAGTTTTAGCAAAGGTGTTTGAAATTGCAAATGACTGAAAAGATTCCTTTCTGTCATGCTAGCCATCTCATTTCTAGAAGTGAATCAATCACAGATTTAATTCACACTTTTAGCATGGCAGAAGCCATGTCAGTTTGAATCTATTGTCACAATTTTCAGAGTTACATAGTTTTTAATTTTGAAGGGTCACTTGAGCTCAGCTGTTTATTTTCAAGATGGCTACTGAAGTCATTGTGGCAGCAGCAGCATAGGATTAACAAATAGATGAGAAAAATCATATGTGAATCTGCAGGAGTTGAGCTGTGTGATGCCTACCTGCATGAATGTTCTCTGCACTAAGCACAGCAAACTTAGTAGTACATTCAGGTAAACTGTCTTGAATTTAGTACAGGGTGAGAAGAAGTGGAGACACATCTTTCACTGTGTTAAACTATCTGGTAGCACCTTCTAACAGCATACATGCCCTAATTTGCCTGAAGCTTTTAAAACTAATTTTTCTTGCTACCTAGCACTAAATAATATGTCTGGTTTTGTAGGTAAAACTAGTCACAGAAATGGATATGCTCAAAATCAGTCAGTGGGTTGGGAAATCCAGGAGTCTTGCTTTCTGTCACTACCTTCACATGCTCTGGAAGTGCTTGGCAGAGCAGGTGGTAGCTTATCTCAGATTGGGACACTTACCTAAATATTATTGTGGAATATTTTCAGTGTTACTGTAATACAGCTGTAAAACAACTCTTAATATAGTGTGGAAGATATTCAGTGGATGACTACAGAAAATAAAACCACTTCTGTATTTGAGCGGTAGGTTCAGATACTTCCTATCTTGAAGATCCATCATGAAACAACATGTAGAAGATGAAAGGGATTATCGAAATGTAAACTATACAACAAACTTGTGTTGCCATTTCTGCCATCTTAGCCCAAGATTTAGAAGTTGCCTTTTGGACTTGTGCCAGTTTCACTTAATTGGTTTAGCCCAGTGTGTGTGTGTGTGTGTGTGTGTGTGCATGGAGCTTGATTCTCTTGCTGCATTGACCTTGGAGTTGTTCCTGATTTGTACCAGCTGCTTGAATGCTCATACTGTGCTTAATGTCATATTAATAAATTTCCAATTAGGGTTTGTTTGGGGGTTTTAAAGAGATCTTAATCTCAATTGCATCCTATAGGTTTTCTTCAGGCTTGCAGTAATTTTCTGAAATGTGAAAGATGTTTCCCTTATTTAATGATGATATATCTTCATTGTCTTTCAGAACAAAAGGGGTAATCCTGAATATCTCCTCAATTGCTGGGATAATTCCAGCTCCAATGATGACGCTTTACTCAGGAACCAAGGTAAGTGTTCTTTTCCACACTGAAAGCAAGTGTCAGGCATAAGCCAACACTACAGGAATAAATGTTTTGGTGTCCATCTAGTGGTGCTTTCATGAACTAAAAGTACTGAGTTTCTAACTGAAATTTTTCCAATACTGGAAGCTGGAAGGTTGAGAGAAAAATGGGAACGACTGTTATGTATTTCACCATGCATTCTACTCTTACATGGAAAAGGATGCTAGTGTACCAAGCAAGCTTAGCATGAGGTTGAGAAGGGATATTGACTAAGCTTAACACACTTTCTTGTTTTGACTTTGAAACTTTTTTCCCCTAATCTTACTGAAGATGTGTATCTTCAATATATATGTATTTATATTTATTTTAAGTAGGACTCTTCTGGTGCTTGTTGGAAGCAAACATTTGTCCTTCTTTTTTATTAGTTGCCTTAAGTTTGGGATTTCAAGTAAGAGAAGGGTTAGAGCTCTAGGGCCTCACCATTACTAAACAGTAAACTTTCCTCGATCTGCTGACCATACAATGTAGCCCAGTATGTCATTTGATGCTCTTGCAGTGAGTGGGTTATTGGCTTATCTTCTCCCTGGCAGCCACCATAAATTCCAGGTTCTTTGCAGCAGGGCTGCTACTCAACCAAAATTAAGGCATGACGTTATCCCACTCTGTATGCAGAACTTCTCACTTCACTCTGTGCCAGTCAAGAAATTTCTTGATGTTTAACAATAATCATCAGGGTCTCTCTGAACTGAAGCTCTATTGTGTCAGCCACTCCATCTAATGTCATCTACAAATTTGCTGAGGGTGTGCTCTATGTCATCATCTAGGTCACTGATAGGAGATACCAAAGAATATAGGCTTCTATATTGATCTGTAGGGTTCACTGCTTGTTATCAGCCAGATGTCAAGCTATTGATTGTGGCCCTTTGAGCCTGGTGTTCCAGCCAATTTTCAGTCTGGCCAGCAGTTTGTCCTTTCAGCACATATCTGCTCGACTTCCAAATGAGAACGCTGCAGAAGATGGTGTCAAAAGCTTTACTGAAGTGAAAAATTTATCTATATATACACATTATCTATATATACACACATACATGTATAGTTTATATATATTAAAAATGAATCAGTTTCCCTCAACTATAAAGCTAGTCCGCTCCATTGTAGAAAGCGATTTAGTTGGTCAAATGTGATTTGCTGTTGGTAAATCTGTGTTGACTGTTTCTGATGTATCTTCTTGTCCTTTATGTGCTTGGAAATGAATTCCAAGAGGAGGGCTCCATGGTCTTTTCACAAACTGAGTTAAAGCTGACTGGATCTTTTTTGCCTTTTCAAGGAGGGGTATGTTAGCCCTCTTCCAGCTGTCAAAGACCTCCCCCAGTTTCTATAGTTTTTCACATGTTGTAGGCAGCAGACTTGTATACATATGGACTGATTCGTTCAGCTCTCAAGTTGAATCCATCGTGGCTCCATGGATTTGAATACATCGAGCTTCTCTGAATAGTCCCTAAATTGTTGTTGCCTCTGTCTCTCTCTTTCATTAAACAAAGTGGCTGCATGTAGAGGCATGGGAGCAGGCTTTGGCTGTGCAAAGGCAAGAGAAGTGTTGAATACTTTAACCTTTTTCTATCCTTTATCTCTAGGTAGTCTCCCTCATCTATCAACATCCCCCCCGTTTCTCTGAAATGCCTCTTGAAAGCAGTGTACCTGTAGGATCCTTTTCCTGCTACCCTTCATTTCCTTTGCTAGTCTTTTCCTAGCTTGGATTTTATTGCAAAGCACCCAATAAAGTTCTGTGTTTCTCTTTTACTTCTCCTTGTTTGTGTCTCATATGCTCATTTCTAGTTTGTCAAGAAGCTCTCTACTTAGCCAAATGCTCCTTTTACTGAAATTTCCTGTATTCTTCCACAATAGACTGGCTTATTCTACCAGTTCAGAGCTACTCTAGATCTACATTTCACATTAAATTTAATCTGCTCTGTTTTCTCTTTGTGTCGCTGAGACAGTTTTGTCTTTCTGCAGCTGGTCTTACTTTTTTTCCAGAGGTACTTATAGGTGCTTCTAAAAGGTTCACCTAAAAGGTCTCCAGTTAACACTTTAAAGACCAAATATGGGTACACAGTATGGAACTGAAGCATTTGTGATTAAAAACTAAATGCAATTTACGCTGGTACTAAAGCAGTATGACACTACAGCTATTTTGGGTGCACCTAGTAATTACCTTAAATACTTCAAGGATTTCTGAGTCTAAGCAGAATCTTGACAGGGTGAAGAAGCCTTCAATAGTGTCATTCATATCAGAACAGACCTATTTTTCCTCTCGACTCTTGGGAACTTCTTCATACTTCCAGAAAGGAATCTATGCGCACTATTTTATTCATTCTAAAGAGGGGATATTTAAGTTTAGAAATCATGAAAGCCTGAATTAGTTTTAGCTGATAAAATTTGCTCTTGAAATAGCTGTTTCCTGAGAGCACAGTTCTTTGTTTTAATACGAAAGGTCACTTTTGTTGTGGCGCTGCCTTCAGCTTTATGGAATGAATTGAGCTTCTGATTTTAGTGGGAATATGCCTTACACTGCTTCGGTTAGTCTTTTTTCAATGAGAATCTCAAATATTTCCTTCCCTCCCTCGAAGAAACTCAATTACAGGTTAAGTAATATGCCTGTTCTCAGCACTGCTCATCTTCTACCACAGCAAGATTAGTAAGCATGAAAGTGACTCCCCTAATGTAGGCTACAGAAAGACTGTATCTGCAATTTCTAGGGTTTTTTTCCTCATCTATTTAGAGGGGTTTAAAGCATAGTATCCTTCAAGTCTAAGTCAATGGCTTTGGCCAATTATCAGGCCAATCCAACTCTTTAACCTTCCCATGGAGAATTCCCTATTTTACAATGAAACAAGACACTTTTAAAGGAATCCTAGTCCTATTTTTGACAGGCATTCCTATCTACCTGCATTAATACTTACGAGAAGTGCAGTACAACTTTTTTTTTTTCTTCCCCCCACCATATCTTTAGTATTTGGGTTTGTTACTGGATATCCAGGGAGAAATTTTCTTAATGCAATGTTTATCTGTTTATTCAGGGGATGCTTAACTAGACAACATTCTTCAGACTGTTTTAAGCCAGAGGCTGCTGGGAGACTTGAGGATCTGGAGATAAAACCCCACATTGTCTTGAAATAAATTCTTCAAGAAGAAAAACTCCAATGTTTATTTGGATACTGGACTTTGCTTTTTTCTTCACATGTAAAATGAATGTTCTCTTTATTGCAAGCTCTTTGCAACCAGTAGAGATGACAATCTCTTTATATTGTCTCTCCTTATTTGGAGCAGTAGCTGATTTCAGGACTCTGTCATGTGGAAATAGTTAGAAATTTGAATGATCAAAGCCCTTTGATTAACACAATATAGTTTTTTATTTATTTTCTAACAGATTCTTGGTAAACTCTGTGTAGTTATCGCACATACATGTGGCAACTGTGTTTGGGGACTGCGCTGAACTATTTGCATGTCTATGCAAGTGCTTATTGTTGCAGTAGCACAACGAGCTCGCTTGAATCGCTGCTAGGCCTGTTTTTCAGAGACTTGTGGAATAGTGGATTTCATTAAGAACTTATACTTGGAGGAAGGGGAGAATGAAAGAACAGTTGGACTTATCTTCTATAAGCTTTCTTGGTTTAATGAGCCTCCTTCTAGCTTGTACATGCAACTTGAAGAATAAAAGGACCTATCTGCTACACAGCAAAACTAGTTTTCTTTCAGATCTTGTGTACGCTCAGAAAAGTGTCTATAGAAATAGCCCGGTAGTGTGGGAGTGTTTCTTTTTCCTAAAAAAAAACAGGATAACCATAATAGGAAAAACACTGGGCACTGCAAGCTTTAAGCACTGGTCTCGGTTAGGACTTCTGTTAATCCAGTGGTGACATGATCAGCAAAGGAAGACTGTAAAGCAGGTGCAATACTGGAGCTTTGCTGTTTGTTTTGAAACTAGTCTGAAGCAACTGCTAATTAAATACTTGCATTACTTTATTTAGTATTTATTTAGCATCAAGCATAGATAAGATAGCTTAGTTCTGTCAACTGAAGGTACTCCATTCATCCTACTCGGCTGTATTGTTTCACTAAAACAAGAAACCGTAGCAGAATCTGGTATTTTGTGTCGCTGGACTGCAGGAGGGAAAAGTGGAAAGGTGGTTTAGAAGAACTCAGGGCGGAGAAATCTGTGCTGGTTTGAACTGCTGAGTAGCCTTGGGTTATTAGGACAAATACTTTCTCATTGTGGTTGTAGAGGCAGCTGTATCAGATTTGAGGGCATCTTGATGGCAAGTACTAGCATCTACCTTTTAAGCCCTTTCACTTCTTTCATGCAACATTTAGTCTTGTAATTTCTAAAACTTTCAGAAGTTTAGGAGAGAACCTGAGGTAGTAGACTTCAGGACTAGGAAGAAGTATCACCGTAGGATGGCATTTCTTAAAAATGTAAAGGCAGAAGACAAAGTATTTAAACGCTGTGATTTAAAAACCACGGACAAGAGAAACCTACTTAAATCACTCTTAAAAAAAAAAAAACATCTAAGGAGATGACATAAGTAGTGGACAATGTGAACATACAGTCCTATTTTCCTTTTTTAACTAGGCTTTATATAAGAAATCTAGTTCATTTTCCTTTTAAATTAAAAGAGGGTTTTATTTGTTTAGATTGAGCCTCCCTTCTGTAAAAGTGCTTTGTAAGCATAGGGTTTCTATTCAGATGGCATTGCCCTAATATGCAAAGTTTCTTTGAAAACCTAAGGTTTTTCACTGTGAAAACAGTAACTATAAATAGTAATTGAAATATGCTTACAAGACCCGGCAAACTACAGTTTTCACTTTAATGCATAACAAGCTGCATATTTCCCTTCTTTTCTCTCTAGGCTTTTGTGGATTACTTCTCCCAAGGCCTCCATGCAGAATACAAGAGCAAGGGCATCATTGTGCAGGTGAGTAGAGTTTGTTTCATGTAAGTGGGGTTACCACAGCAACGTTGGTGTCTTGGTTACAAAAGGGAATCAGCATATTCTCTTATTCATGAATATCTGACGCAGATGAAGGATATGGATTTCCTTTGATCCCATTAGCAGCTTTCTTAAGTTAGTCTGAAACAATGAATCTTGAAACAACAAAAACATGGGTGTGTTTTTTTGTTTGCTTGGGGATTTTTTAGCAGATTGTGGTAATTGAACCTTTAAGTACAAAATATTCCATAAAAACTGTGTACAACTCTGTAGAATACATCTTTACACAACTTAATCTACTGGAATGCACTTTTGGAGTGCATTTGTACAGAGATTCAATGGGTAACTGCTCAAAAGACTAGAACAGTAGCAGTCCATTCCCTGTAGTGTCAGTGAATCAACTGCTAGTATAAGCATAGTAGCAAGAACAAAGGCCTCGAAGTCCCTTTGTCTGTAATGGACTGATTTAATTTTCTTTAGTACTGGCTTTCCACGTAACTAATGAGTCTTGCCTCCCCACCCCCCATTTGTTTACCTTCCATGGTTTTAATTATTTTTGATGGGGTATAAAAGCAAACCAAGCCAGTCTCTCACGGCTTTATGTGAATTTGCTGTAATATTGCTTCTCCCATACTCTTAGTATTTGCTTCCAAAAATAGCTGGAATGTCCAGCTTTGGTTGCAAACACTGAATTTTTCATTCCTTACTACACTTGCTGCTCTCCAGAGCAATAGTCAGTTTGATAAAGGTGGTATGTTACCTGTGCTGTGAAGACAGCAGTGTATTTTTTTTAAATTCAGTTAGGGATCGTCCTACAAACAGGATTAGCCTGTATCCATGCCTGTCATTCCCCTATTTCTGTATGGTGGGTCTCAAAACCATCTGAACTCTGAAGGCCACATAAGGAGTCAGGCACAAAGTTGCCCACCTTATACGTGCAATCATTAAGTGTGAGAGCACAACCTTTGTTACTGGCTAAAACCATAGAGATGTTATCACCTTAGAGCTGTGTTACCTTTTTGACATGATAGATATTTTTTTTTTTCCCCCCTCTTTAAGCATACTTAGCAAAACAAGAACTTATCACCAGGAAATGTCCTGCAGTTTAGTATTCAGATGTTTAGTCCCAGATGTTTAGTCCCAGATGTTTAGTCCCAGATGTTTAGTATAATGTCCTGTCCCAGTTCCTGAGAGAGGATTGTGTTAAGAAAAAGACAAGAGCTGGGTGAGCTATTTCCATTCAGTCACTGACCCTTTAATGGGAACCTCATTTAAACCTTATACTAAAAATCTTAAGGGATGCTGTTTATTTTGGAGTCTGTTGGCAGTGGAGAGGAAGCTGGCCAAGGTGGTCCCTGAAAGCAGTCTAACTACTGTTGTTACAGACCTTCTCGAGGACAGACTAAGTGACGTTAGTTCTACTGCTGGTAACATGGTAACTTGCTGTAGAGCTCCCAAAGCATAACTTCTCCTCAGAGTGAGTGCTTGATGCTGTGTCCTAGCACCCTGGGCTGTACCTTCAGCTAAACCCATGTGCAGCAATGAAGGATGCATAAAAAGGTAGCACTATGAACAGGTACATGTACAACATACATGGTGGTTTGTGTGTGCTCTCGGTTCTTGAAGTAGATTAAGCTGGAGCAACTTTCAGTGTTTTATGTCTCCTTGTTACTTTCTCTTCTCACAGTGCTTTCCAAGCCCTTCTCTGGCTTCAGCCCCAAACTGTCAATTTTTACCATACTGCACGTTCCTTACAGCTTTCTTTTCACTTTTATTTTTACCCTTCTATATTACTTCTGTCTCCCCAGTGTGGTTCAAGTTGTATTACTTGCAGATTTAGCTTCATTATCAGACAGCTGTTCTTCCAGTCCGTTCCATCTACGTGCAGTGTGGCCCTCTTAATCTGTGGTCACAGTCTCCAAATAAGACTGAGGAAACTGGTAGAGTATTTCTCTTTCCTACACCAATAATATGAAGTCTTCCAGTAGGATTTCTTTCCTGTTCAAGCCTACCTACAAACTGTGAGGACGTGGGCTCCTTCAACAGACAGCTTCACCGGCAGTAGAGCTGGCTGTGACCTTGTGCGTGTGTGTGTTGCGGTATGATGTCTAGGCTCTTTATCTGGTGGTTGGTGTTTTCTCAGGTAAAGCTGCTGATAGTTACCTCAGTGTGTGAGACTATTTAGAGACAGATTGCAGGAGAAAGAAGTGTTACATCTTTGAGATATGTTGTGCCTATGTGCGTTTGTAACCGGGCAGACTTCTCCCCCAATTTTGCTTAAATAGTACTCTGCCAGTTGGAGAGGAAAACAAAGAAGGAGCAGGTACTGCTAATTTATGACTATGGAGTACCTATTGAAACTGAAAAGGTAAATAACCTAGAAACTCATGCTTGGCTAAAGGCATTACACACAATATGAATGCAGATAGTACGGGAAAGACTTTCTAGCTGTCGGATATGGAAAAGCTAGAAAAAGTTTTCAGTGTCTTACATTTTTAACACAGTAAACAAACAAAGAATTAAATCTGTCTTTCTGTGTCAACAGTTACATTTTCCTGTACAAAACAGGGGGGAAGCTGTCTTTTTGTAACTTCCATGTTGGCTAAAGGTGTTGAATTCCTGACAGCACTGCTTTTTTGCCCCTGAATGTAGACAGTGAATTGCTATTCTGAGTTATGCGGGCCTGATGACCAATAGCTGTCACAGCTTCAATTTGTTATGCTAATTTTATTGCAGTCCATGTCCTTGTCGTCTTGTTCCAGCTTAAGTCACTATACACCACTAATGAATATTACCAGTACCTTCCTGTGAAGAGTAGCTGACGTATCTTCTTCAAGCCCTTTGGAAGACTGCATCTCCTTTGGATTCTCTGTAGTTCACCTCTCTGACCTTCAGAAATTTAGCGCTTTTAATTCCAGACTTGGGCTTGCAGTTGAGATCACCATTTAGAACAGTTAGATTTTACCACGCCAACACCTGCAGAGTACCACTGCGTGAAAAGCAGAAACACAGTACAGGTGGTATTTTACCACTTCCTGAAGTTCAACCTAAGGTATATCAGTTTTGCTCAAGTGGATTGCCTTCTCTGTGGAAGCTTGGTTTTGATAGTATATATAGTGCTTTTATTGCAATGCAGACATCTTTAGATTAAAAATATACTCTTTCTGGCTGACAAGCCTGCTTAATTAAAGCAGCAGCACAGTAATAGCATAGGTTAAAATTCTGTGTGTGTTTACATGGAGAGAAAGAGATAGGCAAAAAGAAGAGGAAGAAGACAACAAGGACTTCTCTCAAGACTTTTTTTGAAAAATCTCTACCTGAAAGGTGTCTGCAGACTCTTCTGAAACTTTTGCTCTTTGAATATGTCTAAAAATATTGCTTGGTTCTTTACCCCTTTCTTTTACTCCCCTTTTTTAACTTCAGCCAGTATTGGCATTTTTCCTCTATACTTCATTACTATCCATAGTAAAAGTGGAACAGTGAAAAAATCCACTATTTTCTTCTAGCATATCCATTACATAAAATATCTGATAACAGAATCATGGAAGTGTGTGTTTGAAGGGATTGCTATCGCCAGGAAGTTTTCTAGTCTAACCTGCTCTCCTAGTGTTAGCAATGGGATCGCTGCTAACACAAGGTCACGGGGCTAGCTGTGGCTTTATCGAGCCAAATCTTGAAAACCTTGAAGGGAGGGGATGTCGTGGCCTCTCTGGACAACCTGTTAAAGTGTTGCACTGCTCTCCTAGCAAACATTTTTTTTTCTTTAGTGTCCAGTCTGAAAGTTCACAGCCAAAATTGACAGTTTTGCCTCTTGTTATTTTGCCTGGCAGTACCAAAAAGAGTTTGGCTCTCATTTTCATAATTGCCCTGGAAAAAAACCATAGGCAGGTATTGGATCACCACCAGCCTCCTTTTCACCACACTGAACAAGCCCATCTCTCTTTCTCCAGGTATTCACAAAAGTGTGCTATCACCAGACTAAGGGCATTGCCTTCCTCCAAAGCTTTTTTAGCTTTTCTCTTTAGCTTTCTGTACAGGTCAGCTTCAGTTGTTGCAGTTCTTCCATTTACCCTTTATGGCCCCCACCCTCCTTTTCCCCTTAGAGAAATGGAAAGACTTCTTTGGAAACACTCGAGAGTTCAGGTCTTTTTTTTTTTTTTTTTTAAGTAAGGTAAAATAGGTGATAAAATTGTGTAAACAAGCTACTATGACTCTTTGGGGCTTATTTTCATGTGAATGTAGCATAATTAGTAGAGGCTTCTGTTCAGGACTTAAGATCAGTTCTTGCATCTGTACAACATTGAAGACCCCAATTCTGAGTGCCAGCCAGTTTTAATAAACACCAGAGCTATAAGCACTAGCAAACGTTTTAAGAGAGCAAGAGGCATTGTATTGACATAAGCTACATTTAAGGCATGTTTTGAAACTAGAGAGCAGGCTAGCCTTTTTCTGGATAAAGACAAGGAATTTTTTATACAGTTCCTTAACCAGGGTAGTGTGGGTTTGTAACTGCCTGAATACAAAATGCTAAAAGGCTTTAGGCAGTGAAAGATTTTTTTTTTTTGAGTCTGTCATGCTGGTTTTAGATATGGTTCATGAATGTCTGAGATCCTTGTGGGGAAGAGGAAGGAGGGAAAACTAACTTAACGGATTCAACAGGTCACGTCATAGCTGTTAAAATATGGCACAGTTAATGGGAAGACAGTAAATCTTATGTTTCTGAATTAAATACCTGTGTCTCTGTTTTCGAGAGAACATTTGGGAGGAAAAAAAACCATTGGAGTGTAATCCTATGCTTCTGTGTGCCTTGAAGTCTGTGGATCGATAGCTAACCACTAGTGCTACTGTATGCTTGCTTTTTCAAGCATCCTCATGCACAACTGTTTGCCCCTTCATGCTATCCACTGGGTAGTGCAGTTCACTTAGGAAGTCTCTTTTGAGCAGAGGAAGACAAAAAATAAATCTTAACTATCACTGTTGTGTCACTTTGTGGGGGGATGCTGCAGATGTAATTTGGTGGTGAATAAGAAACTTGGAATTGTTTTCTTTTTTTAAAACACCAAACTAGAGACTCAGTTTAGAAATGTAACCTGAAAAATGGACGAGGTTCACATTCTGGAGCTGAAACTAGGTACCTATGCTGTTATGGTAACAGAACAAGTAGTTTTCTTATCCAAGCATTTGTAGCTTTTGGCAACTTTAAATGGCGATGGTAGCCATTTACATTTCTGAAATTCAGGTCTCCGTGTTTTCCCTCTCCATTTGAAAGTGGACTCATGCAGTATATTTTTAAAAGTCCTATTTATAGAGAGAAGTGCATGGTCTCAGTGTCCTAAGGTGAAGGAATGAGCAGGCGTACCAATGCTTCCTGTTTGTGGTGGTCAAATTCCTGTTGAAATGACATGGATAATGAGTCAATGAGAGTCCAAGTGGTCCTTTCCCCCTGTGCTATGCTTCTGAGAGCGTGGTAGTAAAGCTAATGTGGTCATTGTTCTTTAACAGAGTGATATGGGGAAGCAGGTTTCCAAACTGTAACTTGCCCAAATATACTGAGTTTTGAGTCCCCATCCCTGCAGGTATTTAAAAGACGTGTAGACATGGTGCTTAGGGACATGATTTTGTGGTGGAATGGCAGTGTTAGGTTAACAGTTGGACTTGATGATTCCAACCTAAATGATTCTACGATTCTATGAATTTGAGATCCATTAGCGTAGCATAAGTGGATGCACACTTCTCGGATGCCTGCTGTAAAGGTCCATGAAACATAGCGCTCACTGTGATGGGCAAGAGTGACTGTATGTATTGAATCTCTAGTATAGCCACAAACTGTGAATGTTTTAGGAGGTCCTTGTTGAAGTGGTAAGGTTCCAACCTTTCAAAGCTTGTGAGATCTGGTATGTTTAATATCTGATTGAGTGGCTATAGACCAGGGCTTTTTTATTACTTTTTTTTGAGAGGCCTAGATTGAGGACAAGTTGAAAGCAATGCCAAAACCGTGACTATGGGGAAAGAGGGTTGCTTCCTAGCGTACATGCATTTCCCTTTACTTTCCAGTAGCATGTGCCAGGGATAGGTGGAATGCGGTTTTGAATCCCCCAGGTCTATCTTGCCCCACCATGGACATGCCTTTGTGGTACCAGCATCCCTCTGTCAACCACATACCCATACCACTTCCTCTTGCTTTTCCATTATGCCAGGGCCGGGTAGTTCTGAGACCCACTGTCACTTTTTCTGTTTCTTTCAAACACTGCTATAAAAGCCCATTAACTGTGCTCTACTTCTTAATCCTTCCTTCTGTCCTTGAGGTCTTCCACTCTGGTATGGCTATCTCTCCCTTCCTCTGAGCCCTCCTGTGGAGTTCCAAGTCTCCTGATGTTCCCCTTCCTTCTGCCTTCGTCTTTCTCTCTGTACAGGTGCCAAACTGAGGAACTGTTACTCATGTGTAAAATATCTGTCTTGGGTTCTGCGCCTCCTTCCCAAGCAAACATTGGTGGTTTACTACAGAGAAGCAACACTGTGGCATTTTCTGTTAAACAGTTTGAGTGAAGTTTTGCACTCAGAAATTTTAAGAAAGGCTTTTCAGCCATAGGCTTGCAAGAGTAGTTTTTCTAGGGCCCCAACTGGGGATGCTGCCAACAGACCACTAAACTGTCTATCCTTCACATTCTAAATGTGGCCCACAAGATACCTGATTAAAAATGTTTTTGATATTGTACATTGTGATCTTATAACCAAAATTGCAAAGAAGGCTAGCTTAAGCTGGAATTCAGTATACAAGTTACCTAATTTCCAACGATTTTTAGTTCCTTGATGGATCCGGGAGTTGATCTGAAAGCATTCTGTTTAACATGATTTTTCCTATGTGCAGAGCGTTCTACCAAGTTATGTGGCAACAAAAATGGCCAAAATCCGCAAGCCAACCTTCAGTACACCCAGTCCTGAAACGTATGTCAGAGCTGCCTTAGGCACAGTAGGCCTGAAGTCACGGACCAACGGGTACCTAGTCCATGAATTGCTAGTAAGTCACATTGGAAAACCTAAGGATCTGGAATGTACTTTGTATGTGTTTATTATGAAATAAGAGTAAGGAATAATTTTGAATATTAAATATTTTTAGTCTTTAACTTTTAATCATACCTTGATAATACTTGTGTGTGCTGGTAACTGTTAGGTTTACACTTAGTACAGGCTATAAAAAGCTGAACACCCATCCCTACGCCCCCCCTTTTTTGGTTTGTTTTTTGTTTTGTTTTTTTTTTAGATATGGCTCCTGTCTTTTCTACCTACATCTGTTGTCGTTAATATATCCCTGAAAAGACACAAAGAAATGCGGTCTCGTTATATGAAAAAATTGAAGAAGAAGTAAGTTGGAAGCAACTTGATCTCGGAAGCCTGGGACTCCATACCCTCACTGCGGCACCGAGTAGACCTAGTGTTCTAAACATCTTCAATCGTAGGTGTACTTTCTAACAAGCAGAACAGTTTGTTTTGAGGATACAGGTGAAACAAGACTGTTGACTTCTAATAGTGGTTTAAAAATAGGCTTTATTTGTTTATAGATATTACGAGGGGGAAGTGCTTCGGGCTAAAATTGCATTGTGCTTTAAGAAATACTTACGTGGACTTGATCAGACATTGCACTCTTGAGGAACAGCTTGATTATATAGTGTCCATCACATCTATGTATTGTGTGCATGGGTGAAGGGCAGAAAAATAGTAGTTCTCACATATTCCTGGACAGGTGAGGAGGAGTGGGAAGGCAGCATATTTATTTAAAAAGGCAACCTAGCACTGTTGACAGAGTATAACTTTTTACCAGCTCAGGTTTAGGGTACTCGCAAGGACTCTGCGTTGTCAGCCAGCTCATGAGTGCTCCCCTGCTTACACAGTCCAGTGTGATTTTTGGTTATGAACTTGAGGGAAATGGGCCAAAAACCAAAATGAGTGTAATTGCTCATCTATAAATATATACATAAAATTGCAGAAAGTATTTAAATTCCTGGTTGTTGAATATGGATTCTAACTTTTCAGTAATATGTAATCTTTACAGTTTATAATAACACTTTTAGAAGTTCAGTGCCTGCTCTTTGTAATAGGTGGTGCTAACACAATGTAGACAAATGTCACAAGTTATGTGTTATGTGCTGGTTGCGGTGTAAAAGATTACGGGCACTTTAAATGCAGAGCTTGAAATGAGTTACTCTCCTCATTAGCAATGATGGTTAAATTCCTTTTGAAGTATGTATCAGTCTTGTCTTTTTGGTGAGGCCGTTTGAGATGTGAATCCTGAATATTTGAGACAGCTTTAAAAATGAGAACCAGTGAACTTCTTTATACGTAGAACGTTTTTAATTTAATTGTGTTTAACTGATTTGTTTCATGGTTCTGTTCCAAAATGAAGTGCTCCAGTGAGGCTGAGGTTACCCAACTCCGGGAGACAGGGATCAGGGTATATGAGAAGTCTGCACTCTGTTGTCTGTATTTACCTACTCTTGAAACAAAGATTTTTGTGTTCTTTTTATAAACATTAAATGTACTGAAACTTACTAGGCAAATCAAGTTGAAAGCAGCTACTAATGTTTTCTGTGGTGATTTCCTATGGTTGAAGAGTGGAGGTTCTTTGCTGTCCTTGAAAGACTAATTTCAGGCTCTGATTTTGAAGTAAAATACGTTGTACTGAGACATGATTTGGGGCTAACATTTCTGTACATTGAAAAAACCTGAATACCGATGCAATGGTGCTGATCAAATCTGAGATGCAGAACCTATCCCATAGTTTTCTTAATTTTTGGGAACAGGGATGATAAAGTCAGTGGTATTAGTTCTGTAAGAGCACATAACTTGGCTTGCTCTGGATCTGATGTGGAAGCATTGGACTAAACAATCTGTGTGGTTTTGACTTTGTAAAACAAATAAAATGGAATTTACTCTGAATCTTTACTGTGCTGTGTTTTTCCTTAAAATGTTTGCCTGTGCATTCAAATGCCTGATTGTCCTTTATATATTATAATGCAGTGAAAATTACTGTACTTCTACATGCCAAAACCAAAGCTTTTATTAATCTGTTTTCCTGGCTGTTATCTATTTTTACAGTGCTGATATTTTAAAATCACTGGAACACAAACTGTTAATTAGAACTATTAAGCTCTTAATAAGAATAGTTATTTCCAAGTAACAATTTTCTAACTATTGGAGGTGTTTGGAAAGAGATGTCTGAGGGGAATAGCATGCATACCCAGTCGGCACTGAAGCAGCAGTGCCCTGGCAAGGCAGGCGGTATCTGGCAGCGGGGGTGGTTGGAGTGGAGCCCGTGGTTGGTTTGCCCCGCTGGCTCTGTCTGCAGTGCTCGGAGCCTGCAGTTTGGATTCCCACTCTTTTTCTTTTTTTTTTTCTTTACTTTCCAAACTGCAGCAAAAGGAATTGTGTTTTAATCTAAATTGCCTTGAATTTTGCTTTTGAATGTCTGCTCACCTCAGCGACCCGAGCTGATGTGTGTATTCAGTGGCTTCCGACGTACTTTGAAATACCCTGGGCACCGGGTGGAGAACAGGATGGGTGCTCCTGTGGCACGGTTACTGTCTCTCTGCAGCTCTGCTCCGAAGGCCGCTTTTGTCACTGATGCAATGCAAGAGCCAGGGTGAGTTTTCACTCCCTTGTTTGAATGGGAAAAACAGGGTGGGGGATGAGTAACGCATCTGCCCCTCTCTTCCCAGGGAGCCGTCACACCCTGCCCTGCTGCCCCGCGCGCCGGCGGTGCAGCCCCGTTCCCTGAAGCAGGGGGGCAAGGAGGGTCCCTGCGCCAGGGGGGCAAGGCCTGGGCCAGGTGCCCCTTCAGTGGGGGTCGGTCTCTTCTCCCAGGTAACGGGTGATAGGATGAGGGGAAGTGGCCTCAAGTTGCACCAAGGAGTGTTGGATTGGACATTAGGAAAAATTTTTTTGCCGAAAGGGTTGTCAAGCATTGGAACGGGCTTGAAGTGGTGGAGTGCCCGTCCCTGGAGGTATTTAAAGGACAGGCAGACGAGGTGCTTAGGGACATGGCTTAGTGGTAGAATGGCAGTGTTAGGTTAACGGCTGGACTTGACAATCTTAACGTTTTTTTCCAACCTAAACAATTTTATGATTCTATGATTCTATGTGTTTACCTTTAAAAGAAAAAAAAAATAGACTGGTGGGGGCTGTCAGCACGCTTTCAAGGAACCATCCTAAATGTGCTTGGGCTGAACTAGTCCAGCTTTTTGACTTCCACAAACAGCTCAGCTGTGGAAGCCCGCAGCCAAAACCACAGGGTTCTGACGCCATAGTTGTTACACAGAGACCCTATTCCTGTAGCACTATAAATGCAAATGATTGTGAAAGGATACTCAGCGAGGTTCAGTAATAATTCAAATCACAAATCCTTTTGCCATGCAACTCATATAATATGATATTTTTTATGGAAGCCCTTCTCCCCCTCCAGAAGGCATTAAATTGTTATTCATATTTCAGATTAAAAAATTCAGGAAGAGTATTAAAAGACAGACAGTGATAGCAAGGTAGATTTAAGGCTTGTGTATATGCCTCACGCCTACTATAGTAAGTGCTCCTGCTCCAGAAATATAAAAAGGAAGTCAACGGAACAGCATGAAAATGAATGTAAACATGGAATTAAAAAGATCAATCTCCAAAAGTACAATAGCATTTTTAAGGGAAGGGTGTGTAATTTGAACAAACACAGCTGAAGGCAAGAATTAGCACCATACGCACAATCACATAAATCAAGATAAATAAGGCTGGCAGAATTACACATGATGCTTGTTAGCTCTGAAGAACAGCAAAGTAGATAAACAAGGATGTCTCAGGCTTAGCGTGAATTGCCGTACTGAGTGGCAGCGCCGCTAGACCGCCCGAGCGGGCCGGCCCCGGGGGGAAGCGCTGGGGCTGCCTTGCCCTTGCCCTTGCCCTGCAGACGGTGCGGAGAAGGCCGCTCTCCGAGGCGCGACCGCGGGCTGAGGCGGGAAGCCATCGGGGAAGCTGTGAAAGCCTCTCTCGGGGTCGGGCTGGAGACCTGCACGGGGCAGGACAGCGAAGGGTCGGGTCCCCAGCCGCCCTGCCCTGCACACGGAGCTCTCGGGACCTGTCTCCTGGCTTGCTGCCTGACCCGGGGCACGAGGCCTTGAGCGGTGGCCCGGTTGTCCTACGTAACTGAGTGAATTTCACCTGTTCAATCTCGGTTTTTAAGTAGAATCTTTACATATGTGACAGATGTGTCGTAACAGTTTCGGAGGCAGAACACAGGGTCAGCTGCATTAGGTGTTCCTTCTAATGCCCAGGCTGAAGTAAGCGTGCTGCTCTCATCTGTGGGCGAGCTGGAGACAAACACAAGTTGGAGCTGACTTCTGTAAGAACTGTTAGTCGCTTCTTACTCGTAAAACTTATTGTGTGTCTTCCTTTATTTTTTCGCAGTGCAAACATTGCAAAATGAAGAGTACTAGTTGAAAGGGCTAGGAGATAACGCCACTGCTTCCTATCAGGTGTTTAAACCAAGGAGTGCGGAGGCAGGAGAGTGCTGTGTGGATTTCCAGTCTTGCAAGAAGGACTGGTTTGTTTTGTGAATGTGGTCAAAGCACCATGTTCCACTTGCCTGATTACAGTACCCAGTAAAGCTCCCATTTCTCTGCAGACCGAACGTCCTAGGCAAGCTGATTTTTTTTTTTAATCCTGAAAAGAATTAGCCAACTATTGTGACTTGTGCATAGAGCCTGTACGTTTTCTGTCACGAGTGCGTTTCATTCTACCTATTCCCAAGGGGACTTTTAAAAATTATTTTTTCCATCTTTTGAATTATGCAGAGTTAAGACTTTTACTTTGTCTCTATTTCAGACCCATTTTTAAGCCTTTTTGCATGTGTGAATAAAACACGTGGAGCGGTATACCTGAGTTGCTCTTCCATAGCTTCTCCCTAGTTTCAAAATCTTGTTTTGATAAAAGTATGTTCCCTGAAAAAAAAAAAAAAAAAATGCAGAGGGAAGCAGTTTAGCTGCTTGGGAAAACTTCTCCTGTGTTGGGTGTTTGTGGTAGAATTGAAAGGTTCTAGATGTTATTATTCCTGATATAAGGATGTTTTCATTTTTGTCTATGAATAGCAAATATATTTATGAAAATTACAGTTTCTGTGCAATTTTAACTCTTATGTAACATAGGTTTGGCTGTTCCCTGGACTCTCTGCCAAGCAGAGGAGAATACTTCAAAGAATGATTCCATAAGTTCTTCCAAACTGTATTTTTTGTATGGTGAACTTCTATTTAATGTGATCCTTTTTTTTTTCTTTTTTTTCCTTTTCCTCTTTGCTTCAGCGCCTCAGGCATCTGTGGCCAGCAACCCTGACCCTGCAGGCACCAGACCAGCATGGATGAAGAAAGATCAGCCTCATGCTCAAAAGCAATTTGTCTTTGAAAAGCCATTGGAGGTAAAATTTACATGGTAACTAGCAGAATCTCATCTTTTATTAAACGTCAAATGATAAAAATTATCAGACTTTGAGATTATAGTCTCATGTTTAAAAAGAAATTAAAAACTTGGCTGAGCTGAACTTCAGGCTTTTACCAAGCAGAATTTGCAACTGTCTTGCATATATGGCAAACAGAAAGTTACGGTCCCTCTGTTTAGCCTCAGACTTTCACAGAATCATAGAATCGTTTAGGTTGGGAAAGACCTTTAAGATAGAGTCCAAATGTTAATCTAACATTGCCAAGTCTACCACTAAACCATGTCCTACATCTACACATCTTAAATACTTCCAGGATGGGGACTCAACCGCTTCCCTGGGCAGCCCATTCCAGTGCTTGACAACCCTTTCAGTGAAGAAATTTTTCCTAGTATCCAATATAATCCGCCCCGGCACAGCTGGAGACCATTTCTTCTTGTCCTATTGCTTGTTACTTGGGAGAAGAGACTGACCCCCACCTCGCTACAGCCTCCTTTCAGGTAGTAGAGAGTGATAAGGTCTCCCCTCAGCCTTCTCTTCTCCAGACTAAACGGCCCCAGTTCCCTCAGCTGCACTTGATAAGGCTTGTGCTCTAGACCATTCACCAGCTTTGTTGCCCTTCTCTGGCCCTTCTCCAGTGCCTCAGTGTCCTTTTTGTAGAGAGGGCCCCAAAACTGAACACAGTATTTGAAGTGCGGCTTCACTAGTGCCACATACAGGGGGACGATCATTTCCCTGCGTACCTGTTAATAACTACTACACTTGATTATGTACCTGTTCATAACTACTTTTTTTTTTTTTTTTGGAGAGCCTCAATATTCGGAATGATGCAATGTCATAAGCATGATTTGAGCTCTGTTTTTTCCATCAGTTGGGGTATCTGCCTTGTTTGTTACAGGGGAAGAACATGGCATTTGTTTTACAGATTTTGCTTTATGTCCTATTAGCAGAGGAAGGATATTCTGCTCTGTGCAGTGGGAAGGCAGTTCCTTGCTTGGGAAAAAAAATGTTGAACACTTCTTTCTAAACCAGGAAGAAAGGCTTGGAAGGATTGGAGATGGTCTGGGAAGATTCTCTTTTTCTCTGTGGCAGAGCCCTGGTGTCTACATAGTACTGTATTTTGACCCTCCTCCTTGCTCAACTCAGCACTCCACTGAGTTCAGAGAAGAGAAGCATAAATCTCTGAGACAGACAGAATGATAATCCAGGCTGGACCAGGCTGGATTAAACTACTGTGTTTGTATTTTGGTTTTTGTTAACAAAAACCAGCTATCTCAAGCTGTGCAGACAATTTTAAAGTGTCAACTCCCTGCTATGTCTTGTCTGTTTTGTGTTTTGCTTGTTGTCTGGGGCCTGGGATTTGTTCATCCCTTCATCCCTCCTGTAGTTGCTCTAGATTTTTACTTCCAAATGTAGGGATAAGATTTTGTTTTTTGTTGTTGCAGTTGATAAGTAGGAAGATTCTATGATTCTGTGATTCTATTGTAATAATCCAAATAATTTAGAAATGAATGTCCTTTAGGGGGCAGTTGATTGTTAAAAACCGCCTGCAGTGGTAGCTGCATTTGAAAATTTCTGGGCCATGGAGAGAGTGGGTGCATTGTGTCTGCTTACCAATTGTGCAGGGGTATGTTTCTCTCACTGACATATCAGTATGCAGCTATACAGAGTCCCTAGAGATGGCAATTAGTCAGCATGCCAAGTACTTTAATATTCACCATGCATTGTCTTGTTACCTTTCAGGTGGAGCGCAAAGTTCCTGAGGCAGGTGTGATAGAGTGAGTATACTGCTGCCTTAACTGTCCTTCGTGTGGTTTTGCCATCTTGCTGGTCAGTGGGAATCTGCTGAAAAAAGTTCCTTCTCCACTTACAACTGCCATGCCTCTGGAAGAAATTTCAGTACAAAATGTGGGCTTTCAGCCCTTTTGTCCTGAACTGAATTTATGATCAGGAGAGTCCAAGTCTGTATTAACTAGTTTTTATAGCTTTGGGTGTAGCTGTATAAGCCGGGAAGAACAAACAATTGGATGTTCTGGATCAACAGAACTGCAAATATGTCTCCTTTGGTTAGCAATGTACATTTTCCTAGAAAAGTCCCTGTGTAAAGTATGCTGGAAATTACTTACTGTTATCCAGGAATATAGCTGGTATGGCAACTCAAGCAGCGCTTCCTTTGAAGGTTCGGAAAAGTAGCTGCTAGTGAAGCAAGGTACTTGCACGCTGTGAATCACTTACCCTTTGTGTTGAAATGGGGATCTTTTCAGAATAACCTTGGCGTGAAATGTGACCAGGTATGGTGGTGTATGGTGAAGTTACAGATTTTGAAAATTAAATCTGGCTCAGTTTGTTCATCTTGGAAGAATTTTCTGACTAAGTGGTTCCTAAGAGGCAAGTTACAGGTGCAGCTTTTGACTCGCTGTATGTTGTTCTTAATTTGAGGGATCTGGGATTAGTTTTCTGTAGCAACTTCAGATTTGATGCTAGGTGGGTATCCGTGCAGAGCAGGCATAATTCAGATGAGATGTTCAGCTGCACCCCCCACTGCTAGTGTGGTAGTGAAGAGTTCATTAAGTATAACTCCTTTGTGAGAGGTGTTTCTGTCAAAAGTCCTGAAAAATATTGCTGGAAATAGTTACAGAATTTCCCGGAAGCACTTACAGACTGTAACAGATTTGCTCACGTTTTAACTTTCCATTTCAGTATAAATGATACAGCCATATGTTCTTTGCATATTGTTTGTGATTACTAATAACATAGTATCTGGGTATTAAGTAAATTCAGCATGTTAGAAGTGTTCTAAAGGTTCACTGACCTTTCATTTGTTACACTTGTTTACAAATCAAATAAAGAAATATAGGGGAATCAAAGCTGAGATGCTGTAGGTAATATAGTATGGTTTATGCTCTTCACGTGCAATATGGAAGAGCAGAAGTTTCTGTTTATTTAACTTTCTTAAATATGGCACAGCGTTAAAACTCAGTATGCGATCATCTTGTGAGCTGGTTGAACTGTTTTGAGGGAGCTGGAGAGTGATTAACTCCTGGAGTGTTCTAGGCAAAAAGAGCAGTATAAAGTTTTTGGAGCTGGCTTAGCAGAAAATGAGATGGTAGGTGAAGCAAGCAGTTCATACAAGAGTGGATAATACTTGATGACAATGCAGCTCATAACAGGGAAGAACTGTTTACCCTCTGTACCACCTACAATAGTTAAAATACTGCTCATGTACCTGTAACTTGGTTTCTGTGTGTCACACAGGCTGATGAACGCTTGGCTGTTAGCAGAATGGTGCTATCAGTCATCTGACTAAAAACTGGATTTTGCATCTTCAGTTACACTCGTGTTCTTTGTATATCTATAAATGCAAACATAACAGTTAGGGTGCAGTCTTGTATGGTGGTCTCCTTTATATTTCCCGTGACATCAGTTGTTTACTTATCTCTGGAGCCTTAAAACTGTGTATTGAGTCTTTGGTGAAATGCGAGCAAGAGGCAGGAAGTACACACAAACTCATTTGCTTCTGCAACACCCCTTGCTGCCCTGCTCTGACCTCTGACTGTCTCCAGAACATTATTGCCTCCCTTAGCAGTGCAAAGCTTTGTTTCTTTTCCTTTCTGAAGTATACTCTTCCCTAGTCCAGGTTTACAGCAATTCTAGTCCACGCTGCTCAGTGTAAGATAACTTCTTATTGTTTGTCCATCTGATGGCTCTTTCCTTTCTTACATACTCAGCAAGCCTGGTGTGTATGAGCTCAGCAAAGTACCAACTGGCATTTCTAGGTAAGTGAATTGCGCTTTTTTTGAAACTTCTAATTTGCTGGTGTGGAACAGTGTGGTGGTACTCAGCTTTCTGAAGTCTAGTCTCTGCAGAGTGTTTTGACTCTAGCAGGTGCATGTTGCCCTTCCTATGTATCTTCTGTTTAAAGTACTTCTGGAAATACTTTGAGTATCAGGTAGCAGTGTCTTACACAGTTCTGAGCAGCACTGAAGAGAAGAAAAATGAACCTACTCACACCTAGTGTTTACTGCATCTAGTGTTCTTATCTGGAATAAGGAGAAGGGGCTATGTCCATTCATTTCATGATCCAGAGTAAGTTGCTGCTTGAAATTTAGATTGGTATTCCTGTGTTAGCAAACGCGTGATGTCTGTGTTGTATCATTAAGAGCTACCAAAAACTTAAAGCTGTAAATTGGACTTGTTTTAAATTAATATAATAAAAGCATTTAACTTGAGGCAGATTTGATAACTTTAGGGTTGTCCCTTTTCCTGACATGCTGTGCCTTAACTGTTTCAGCTTCAAGACGCTTCAAAACAAAACCTACTTGTTCTGTGATTCCTACTAACTAAAATGCATTTTATTTTACCTTGCTGACTTAGCTGCAATATCAGTGTTAATCCTTGTCTTCTGAATTTGATAGATCTTATTAATAGTGGAAAAATTGCCAAGGACATAGTAACTTTTTGTGCATTTATTTCAAAGCTTTCATCTTGGTTTCTTCAAAAACTGCAAATAAAATTTTATGCCAATTTGAAAAGGAAAAGCTTTGACTAGCTGGAAAGAGAAAAGATACACAGCCAGCTGGGTTATTCTTTTGTTTTCTGGAGTTTGTTTTCATAATATGTTGCTGGAACATACACGTTTCTGGAAAGTTAATAATTAGATTTTGTATCTCTTTTAGTACCTTTACTGTATATTCTTATTGTGATGTCTTTGGAGCATTGATTGATCATGAGAATAACCTCTTGTGAACAGCATTCCAGCTCTGCAGCCCTCCACAGTGGCTGGAATTTTTGAAGGATGCTGTCAGTACAGTTAAAATATAGTGTAGATATGAAAATGTAAAAACAGGAGAGGTTAAATACTCTAGGGTTCTTGTGCTTGGAAAAGAGAGGATAGGATGGCAGTTGTGATAAAGGGCTATCAAATTCTGAGTGGCATGGAGATGGTGAATAAAGGGCAATTATTTACTTATGTTGATTGTAGTACCATAATCAGGGCTATCTAATTTATCAAATGGGAAGTTAATAACAAGCAGAAGGGTGCCATTTTTCACACAGCATATGTCTGATTGTGGGACTCATAGAATATTGTTGGTGTCATATGTTTTTACAGGTTTTAAAAAGCAATTAGATGTGGTTGGTGAGGGGAAGACTCATCGGGAGCTCCTACTGCCTTCTGTTCTTTCCTTCACACCTGCTTTTGGCTGTGGTCAGAAATACGATACTGAGCTTTGGCTTTTGGTCTGATGCATTACAGCCATTCTTATGCCCTTTGGGAATCCTGGAAATTAGCATATTTTATCAAAGCATATATAAAAGTGTATATTCCTTACATTTTTCTTTATCTTTTTGTTCCTTAGGATTCATTTGATTCCTGGCTTTATAGACTCAGAAGAAGCAGATTGGATGTTTGAACAACTCCTTCAAGATGTACCCTGGGGTCAGAGAACTCACATCAGACAGGGTAAGGTCTGTGTAGACCAACTTTTCAGGTCATTCCCAGGTCTTTTCCATGCCAAAACCCATGCATCATTTATCATTGTTTTTAATTTTAGATACTACCACTCCGTCATGTATTTCCTTCCAGGTTTTCCATGCATATTTGAAGAGTACTACTGTTTATTTTTCAGTCTGTATCACCATGTTCCTATTGCCAATTAAATGAGATCTTTCCAAATTAAAATTCCCTGTCTTAAAAATCTTTGAATTTTACTGCATCCTCTGTCATCTCCAGTTCTTTTTCCCAGTCTTTTTTTAGGTTAAGTCTGTGCTCCATCCCTTCATACTGTCTCCCAGTGATGCTGCAAAAACTGTGTTCTTTTAGGTTTCAGGAATATTTTTTGCTTCTCTCACTTAAAATCCCAGCAGAGCGTGTTTTATTTCCCCTTGTCCTTGCTTATTAGTTTTCTAGCATGCAGTAAGTGAGGAGACTGCTATTCTGGATTTGTTCACTAAGGGGCACCTGTTCTAGCTAAATTTCTCTTCAGTCAGGAGCGGATATAAGATAATATATTGGAGTAGTTACTGGACAGGGCTGGAAAACCTCTTCAACATCTGTGTTTATTGGCTTGCACTAAAGGTAGAGTATAATGGAGAATGTTACCTGTCAAGCATGAGAAATAGCTACCAAGATAGTCTTTTCAGAACTTGAAAGTACTTTGAACTTGATGTTTGTATTACACCACAGAGCACACACATATTTGGCAAAATATTACTTGTCCAGCCTTGCTGCATTCTACTTCTGTAATGTCCCATTGATGCTCCGGTCCTTTCCACTTCATCCTTTCCAGTGGATACATCTTGCAGCTTATGCCAGTGTGTTGGGCACTGGAACCAGGAGAATATAAAACATGCCAGAATTATAAATAAAATTTCAGTTTCATTTTGCTGTCTTTAACTTGCCCAGTCCCTGCCCTGCCTGGCACAGGGATGAGAAAATTGATGTAGTTCCAAGATTTTGGCAAGGTAATTCCTCTTGCAGAGACAGGCCTGCTTTTGAATAATCGCATTCCTTCCCTTGCGTTCATTATGTAAGGCTGAGGAGTTTAAGGGGCTGCTTTTTAACTTCAGGTGAGTGGACAGTCCCTTTTTGGTCAAGTTTCTTGGCAGGATTGCATCATCTTTCCATTTTCAAGCCCTTTGACAAGGCAACTGAGAAAGTCTTCCTGGTTTTCTTTTTTTTAGAAGTATCTTTTGAGGAACCAAGGCTTACCTCCTGGTATGGAGAGCTTCCTTACACGTACTCCAGGATAACAATGCAGCCAAACCCAAATGTAGGTATATGTTTACAGTTTTCTTCTATTATTGTCTGTAAAGAAATCCTTTGCAGGGATTGAGACACAAAAAATCCCTCTATCCTATATTTTTATCTAGAGTATCTATCAGCATTTCATTTGTGATCAGCAACAGATTCTAGTGGAAGGTGGACAACTTCATAAAACAAGCATTATGAGTGGATTGACTGAGAGGAGCATGATTTAGTTGCTAAGCATTGGCAAAAGGAAACTCCATAGTTTAACGCTCTGCTTTTGGGTCACTGTAACTTTGAACAAAACTCTGAATTGCTCTGAGAGACTTACTCTATGCATCTTTATATTGGCAGTTATAGTGTACACAGTCATACTGAGTTTTTGGTTGTAAAGATAAATTACTGAAATAGTTACTTTCAGAAGCGCTTATATTGAATAATGCTTAAATGAGAATTTAGGCATATTGTTGATTGCTGTGTGAGTCCGATGAAATTCACATGCACAACCTGCCTGCTCAGCATCTCCAGATTGTATGATGTAATTGCCCATGCTGTTTTGGAAGGAGTAAAAACCTTCTGAGTGACTCATTGACGTTTTATTCATATTTACTCTCTCTCTCTCTGGCTTCCAGCTTGTTGTCCCATTGGCCTGTCTCTTGGTATTGCTGTGTTTGAAATTTCCGTGGCAGTAGGCTGCAATGTTCTGAACCATAAATTAAGTGTGACTGTTGACGGCTGGATAGGATGAGAGAGAAGTGCCCAAGTCCCAGAACAGCTGCCAGAGGGGGGTACCTCCTAGCAAAGCTCAGTTTGGGAAAAGTGGAAAGGTGTTATTTAACAAGATGAGTTCTGAAGATTTTGTAGTCTCAAAAATACAATAGTTCAAAAATTCCATAACTTACGGAATTTGTGGTGGAAAAAATAGGCTTTTTTTTTTTTGTAGTCACTTGTGGAATATTATTTTAATGTACTTTTCTAGAAACTGAATGGCTTTAGGGATTGGAAGTGCCCCTCCAAAATCATTCTGCTGAACACTAACGATTTGTGTCCAGTTCAGAATTGCCCGTTGTGGAAGCCGTTGCTGCTCAGAGGTTGGATAGAGCCTATATACCCTGAACTGATGGTTTCAGTTCAGTTTACATAAAGTTCAGAGTTAGCACTCATTGGGCCACTGGTTTGTTTTTCTTACCCAAGAGGTACAAGGCCTAAATCAGTCATGCATGCTGATTCAGTCTTTTATCTCTGAATAGTTCTCCTTTTTACTGAGAGAAACTCTTAAAAGAAAGTGAGATGCACTGGCAAACTTGCATATCTGGGATCCAGCCCTGACACTGTCTGGGGATGGACCGTGGTCAGATATATGGGTAGACTGCACATGGACACTTTGGACATTTCACTCGGCTCTGTAGGTGGGAGTTCCTGCAGCCTAGAAGAAGCAGCGGATGGTGTAGAGACCACAGTCCTTACCTGTAGAATAGGTTTTATATCACAGAAATATTCTGAGTAAAATATAATTTAGTGCACAGCTTAGCCAAAACCAATTACCTGCCTTGAATGCTTGATCTGTAGGAGTAAGTAGCTTTGTGCCCCTGCTTTTTTGTTTGGTAAGAGTAGGTGTGAATGCAGCACTGTTTGTGCCTAAATTAATTTTGGTATTAGAAAAATGGTCCTTTATAAGCAGTGATGTAGTTGGTGCACAGTAATGTTTCAACAAAATTACTTCCACTGCTGCAGGTTTTAGTGGGGTTTCCACTGAATTGTAAAATTCATCATATGGTAACATTTTTAGTAATAAAGATTTTTGTGTTAGGAATTGAAGGAATGCAGTCCTAGCTGGTCACTGAAAAGTGCTTTCAGTAATTCTTGTTTGGACTCTTCTGTCATTGTATTATATGTCCTGCACATACTACACGTTCAGGCAGCCCAGTTACAAGCTATAGCTTTTCTTTGGTGATGTTACTGATTTCCCTAC